AGTAATAACGAAGAAACAACTTTCCCAGTCTCAGCCTTTCACAAATAACAAAAAAAATCTCTACTGAGAAAAAAAAACACTTTAATGAATGTTGAAATACAGAAAATAACATAACTCAAATGCAGTTTGCTTCTATAAGCCTATTTGCAAATTGTGCATTATACAGTGCTATTTTCCATCTACTTAAAATACACTAACTCTTCTAATTTGAACAATAAAGATAGCTTCATGTACTCTCATAACCAAAAATAATGAAAAAATATCTGATAATCAGTATTGGTTACAATTGATTATGTAGTAAAAAATCTAACACACTTGCTCGCTCTATATCATTTTATTAATCTAATATACCATAACCAATGTGGAACTTAAAATCATAATGCTATCGGTGGGTTTAAAACAAAGCAATTCAGTTCAACTGATAAAAACACTCTCAACTATCCTAAAGAGCTCCTTCCACAATCCTGGAGGCTTTCATTACTTTATGCATATAATAACACACTTCAAGGTTGCCCTTACTAACAAGTATATTACATGGATGAAAAATATATGATAGGAAGTTGGTTTATTGGAACATATTTTTTTTCTTAACATTCAACTTTCTAAAACATTCATGAATGATTTAATAAGAGATGCCAGGCTAGTCCATCTGCACCCTGAGATTAATTCAGCTATCCAGCATACAGACATCAACATTTCTTGGTGTCTTACTAGCCAGCTGATACCGTTACCTCGCTTGTGAAGTTTACACCCCACAGCTAAACAGCTGGTTCTACCACCACCAGAATATGCACTAGACTATTCATCATTAACACATTTGTAGATCAACTAAATAAGACTAACACAATCACATCAAGACAAGAATTCACCAGGTGATAAACCATCATGATGGAGGATGACTACAATCACCACCATCACATATCAGAAAATGTAACTCATAGACTAAAACAAGGCGCAAAGCTAGCCGATTTGAAACTAGAGAAAAACTGTTGGCAATGCCTGCTTTATTTTTTTGTTAAATTTTCAAAAATAGCTCAATGATGAACTATATCAAAGCATCAGATCTGATTTATCATATAACAGTGAGCAAAAATTTAGTTCACTCACTAGATAATTTCTTTAAACTAGTATCTCACTGTTGTTTGTACCTCTACATGCTTGCATGCCTGAATTAGACAACCAGTTTTAATTTCTCTGGTTTTAAACTAGTCTACTTGCAAATTGAAATATAAAATTTATTATTACCATTTTTTGTTTATGTTATATTGACAAAGGCAAACAAGTTAAATGTCAACAATAACCAGTAGTTAAGGACAAGTGTTTAATGGACTACTGAGTTGTATACCTATTATAGGTTAAAATTTGATGGACATTGTGTTAATCTTCATCAGATGTGGTTCTGTACAAGTTACTAAAACAAAATTTGACTATGACAAATTTCATGTAAGGTGCATTGAAATGTCATCCTTTTTCCAAGCTCTCCATAGTGTCCATTTAATACAGCTTTTACTTTTATTTATCATTCACTTAGGTGTTCTACTGAAACAACTGGTTAAAGACAATTTTGGTTTAATCTCGATTTAGTTATACATGTGTAATATATATACAGAATGATAACTTTATAATCAATTAAATTTCTACATGTATCAAGACTTGTAGCACCTTTCCAATCTACTAAATCATTTACATCAACAGTACACATTAAAACTAAATGTAATGAATAATGTCACAACCAAACTGATTTTCTTGTAGCATACAATGAAAAGCATACAGATCCAAAAATCACAACAAAAAACGAAAGACAAAAAGGCTGTCACACTAATAACAAATAATTATGAGTAAATTACAAAAAAAAAATGCTAATGTGAGGTGAATTTTTTTCATTTGAGCATTATGGAAATGCTATAGGCACTAATTCAAATTGAGTTCAAATGAACAATAAAAATTGAAATTTTACCATCTACATGTATAAGTAGGTTTTTCATGTATAATGAACAGATCCTAGATTTGTCTATTGATTTAATGTACAAGAAAAATTGTAAAGCTTTTATAAGAATAAACTTGAGGTACACAGATGAAAACAAAGAAGTATGTTAAATAGAAAGGTATTTTTATATCTTTTCTTCAAACTTAAAAATAATACTCCTAACAATTTGAACAAGGATGTTACAAGTTAAATATCTAATATTTATGTGAAGGCTTAATAACATGATTATAGTACTATTAAAGGAGTTACAGATTTATGTTCTATGTTCAGCATTTTAAACTGGATTTAATTTTCCATATTAATTTT